GAGATTTTAGGCTAGTAAGTTGAGTTTATTATCGTCTGTACAGTATGTAAATTAGGTACCGTAAGTCTAATACAGCACTAATTTTATACATTTCTTGTGAAAGAAATACTTCTTATTCAATGGCCATAAAAATTATTTATATTAATGATGTCTCCAAAGGTCAAGTTATTTTTCTGCAAAAAATTATTTATTAGAAATCGTGGCTGCCGATTCATATGCTGTTCCGCAATGAAAACCAGCTTTAAGTAATGGCGTAGTCAAACGGTACACACTTGGTAAGTAATCCTATAATTTTTTGTTTATAGCATAGTTTATACGGATTACTCCCAAAAAATTATACGTGTTTTGGAAATGCTGAGTGGAATTAGTCTAGAATCGGTTAATTTTATAGAAGAAAACCTTTCGAACAGCCTTAGTCCGTAAAGTTCTCCCCTATCGAGCTGCGATTGGCTCATGTATTTAATCATTCCTACAACGTAAAATTCGATTAGCGTGGAACGTATCTAAGCGTTATAGGGGGGTCTACTGTATATCTCAAATTTTTCTGACAACAAATGAAAAAAAAAAGTTACAGAAAATAGCTTCATAATTCCGAATTCATTAGTTAATAAATAAATGAATTTGCTTTTTCACAGAATATCTTAAACCATTTAACTTTTAAGAAAAAAATAGCTAAAATATAATTAAATTATTTAAATTAAACTGAATTTTTTTGTAATAGAAGATTTTATAATAATAATAATTCCAACTATAGTATACAAATTCTACAACTGAATTTATGAAGTTTACATACTGAAATATTATGAATTTGAAAAGTATTGCTTTGAGAGTATTTAGAAATAAAATATCTGTGTGTAAATATTAACATATTACTTGCAAACTTTATTACATCTATCTTAGCATATTTATTGATTATCATCATAATACGATTTAAATGCAATGAATCTTAAAGAATGTCAATTGAGAAATTTTAACACTTACTTATGACATTTATCAGACTGTGTTCTTTTATTTAGTCCATCAGTTATTGTCTGATATCGTAAATTTTCATTAAGTTGTCTGCATGTTTGTGAACAATTCAATGAATTCAGAACAGGAGAATTATTAATATTACATGAATCTTTTTTTAAAGCTAAAACTTTAGAAGGACTAGAAAAAATATATATTTTAATTTATTTAAATATATTTACATTTTTATTTAACAAATAAAAAATGATCTACTTTTAATTATTACCTTCGTTCTTGCAGTTTTCTAGCTTCTTCCCTTTGTTGTTCTAAAACTTTTCTTGCCATTCTCCTATAGTCATCTTTAGATTGTTCATAAACATCTGTTATTTGTTCTTTTTGTGATTCCTATAAAAGTTGTTATTGTTAAATTATTTATCAATAAATCATAAAAATAGAAAAATTTAAGGAGGTACTTTCTTTCATAAAAACTTCTTCCACATTAATTTCACTAGTTGGACTCAAAGTACTTGGTGTACTGATACTACTAAGTCCATTTGGAGATTCATTATTTGAATTTAAAATAACTGATGTAGGAGAAGTAATAGTATCAGAACTATTATATAACCATTCTCTTTCTTGTCTTCCTTTTGCAAGAGCAGCAGCTCTAAGTGCAAGATGATGAGAATCTTCTAGATCTCCATTTAACTACAAAAACAAACAGTTATGTCAAAATATCTCAGTTTAATTATCATTTAGTTATTATGATAATGAACTCATACCAACTGCATAATGAATGAACTCAGTGGCATAGTGTGTGTTAGCTGCCTGGGCAAAGGAAAATTTCTCTGTCCCCTTATTTAGGTATCTCAATTTAAAAGACTAAAATTCAGTTTCGTCACAGAATAAGTAATGAAAAATTCTGTGCTAGTGTTGCCACCTTTTTAAAATTGCTGACCCGGATGGCAGGTGAGGTTTGTTCGAACAGAAGTTCCTGACACATGCGTATGTCATTTTGCAATGCGAAGAATAATGTGTAGTGCACACCGGTTCTAAATCAGTTACAGTTAGCGACTAGGGAGACTTGCATAGGAGTAACATAAGAAACCTAGATGACTTAGCTCTATTGGATATTGGAGGTGTATGTGAATATGATTTAATCATACAAGCAAAAGAGAAAAAAAAAGGTCGACAGGTTGCGCACGGTAAAATTCACCAGGTAAAATTAATATCCGGATGATAACACTATTCCCTGTGCTCATTTCAATCGGTCCGAATTGTAGGTGCGACGAAAATATGATATAAAATGGTTTAAATTTTTACAAGATATTATTATTATTAATTATTGTGAAATTTTGCCACCCCCTTAAAAGTGCCAGCTGGGGCAGGCCACCCCTCCAGCCCCCACTATGCTATGCCACTGAATGAACTATATGTTGTCATTATTCTGAATTATACAAGTAAAATCAAAGCAACTATATTAAATAAGTTTATATATGCACAATTCCCAAACATATTATTCTGAATATCTAATTGTAAATCAATTTAGTAACTCATATGTATTCATATATTGGCATCTACTGACTAATATAGAGTCAATACATGCTAATATATTATAAACCTTATTGTAGTATTATTCATTATAGTTAATATTTTATATGTTTTGTTATATAATGTTCTCTTTTCTAGAAAATTAGTAATTTCTTGTTTAGTTCTAATCAGAGTACTTAATTAAATTTTCATATTAATAGTAATTACTTGTTAATGCTGATCATCATCAATCATCATTTGTGGCATTTATTTATCATCAATTATCATTTGTGGCATTTATTTATCATCAATTAATTATCATTTGTTGCAACAAAATAAATCTTAAATCAACAAATGATAATTTAGATAATTGTAGAGCACTTAATTGAATTTTTTTTTAATTTTACAGATGAATTGTAAGAAATAATCATTTTTTGCATATTACAATAGATTATAAAAAAAATGCAAATAATTTCATCTGTTTCAAACTTTGAGTAACAATGTTTGTTTCAGAAAATAAATTTTTTGAAATATAATAAAAATCAAGAGTTTTATATACTGGGCATAAATTTTAACATATGAAATATTTGAAAATGGCATGATCATAGATATCATCATCATACTGAATAATCATAGATAATTATTTGAATTCAAGGTTTACTTATAAACACTTTTCTTCAATCTATTGAAAAAATTAATCTTTCTGATCTAGTCATCAAAAATTCTAAATTCTTTAGTCTTATATTTTCTTTTTAAAATTACTATCAAAATTTTATTTTCATTTTTTTAATTCTTTAATTATTTATTTAAAATTATTTTATCTTAGTCTATATCTATTCAGTCAGGGTCCTCATGATTTTTCCATGGCTACTGCCAGTTCAGGACTTCATTCCTTCTGTCTTTCTATGTTGATTAAGCCAACTTCCATATTTAACAAAATAAAGAATATACAGCTGATTAAATAATCTTTGTAATAAGTATAATGAAATTTAAGTCAGAATATTGCCCAAAAAATATACATTCAATGAGTTTATAAAAAGATTTACTTCTTAATAGGAAACAAACAGTCTAACTTGTAGAATAAATCAGAGCTTTAGCATATAAGTACTATTTCCCCATTACGAACTGATTGATAATTCTTATGCATTAAATTAAAACTTAACTGCAAGACTATTATATTTAGCTAAATGCTAGTCAGGCCAGGCACCTCAGTTAGTGAATAATATACAGTCGACCCCCCTATAATTACGGTCCCTATAGTTACGATTCCTATAAAACTACAAAAAAATTGCTACCGGTATCCGTAAAAAATAGTAAAAGTTCCCTATAAACACCTCAAACGTCATCGGGAAGCCGAACTACTTTCCCGCCGTCCGTAGCGCCACGCTACGGAGNAAAATTGTAGACCTATAAATTTCCACTGTCGTCCGTCCATCTTTTCTTAATCACAAGAATGGAGTTAGATAGATGAAATCCGAGATCATATATGAAAAGCTTAGGGGCAGGAGGCCCCAATTAACTGTATATGAATTTCTGATACAAACAAAAGTCATGTTATTTCAATTCAGAAATTTTCCCCTGTAAGGAATTAGATAGATGATGACACAACTCTGTTGATAAGAAAATTATGGTGTACAGGGGCAAAACTCTACTAATTTGAGGTGAATATAATATATTTTAAATTAAATAAATTTTAAAAATATAATTAAAATTGCAGCCCAGCATTGTAATGATGTTACAATAAATAATTGCTCATTTTAAACAATAAAACTTTCATAAGTATTTAAATAATTTACTAATAACAAACACCATATGGATAACTGCAAAAGAAATAACCACCCTCAAATAGTAACTACAGAGAAAATACACAGTTTAAAATACTAGCCACAGCTATTATTTGAATAAAATTAATATTTCTATTACATGTATAAGAAACTTGCACACTTTTTATTTCAAATTTATATTTCAGTCTCATAAAAACCAGATTCATTCAAAATGAATTATTATATTAAATCATAAATATATAAATGATTAAATTAATATTTACAATAATATTTATAATTAACTATGTTTATATTTATAAAAAATACTTTTAACTTGACTTACTTGAATGATGTGTTCCATTAGAGAGCCTTATATTTCCACTTTTTGTATTCCAAGAACTTCCCTNCCAAAAAATATATACGTATTTTGGAAATGTTGAGTCGGATTAGTCTAGAATCGATTAATTTTATGGAAGAAAATCTTTCAAACAGCCGTAGTCCGTAAACTTGATACGTGTCGGGTTGTGATTGGAAGGATTCGTAAGAAAGCGGATTCCTAGAGAATGGAACGTATCTCTATCTTATAGGGGGGTCGACTGTAATTACTTTGCATAATTTTTCAATCTACATTAAAATTCATTGTTTTCACTGCAATTTCTCAATTAAATACAAAACATACAAAATTTTAAAAAATTAATGAATTAAATTTTTCTAAAATAAAAAAAAATTTTTATTATATATTTTAAAAAAATTAAATAAATATGACAAACCTCTTGAAAATCTTGAGACCATCTCTTATCACTTCCATCAGATGTATTGTAACCTGAATCCAAAGTGTATCTCTTCCTACAATTATCAGAAGTTAAGCCATTTTGGAAGCGCAAATCAGATCTATCAATATGTATAAAAACTAATTAGCAAAATAATATTTTCAGTACACTCACCACAAACCATATGCAACAAAGTTATAAACATACATGTGCATGTGAACATTTATAACTCTGTTGCACACACACACAACATTTATATACCTATATACAAACATATCAAAAATAAAATTATTTTTATAGTAACTGTTCTGTAATTACTGTAAATCAATGAAAACAAATCTTTATAATTAAAGAAACTTCAACTTATAAAAGGAATATTATCAAACAAAACAATCAATAAAGTTTACAGTTAAATAAATATTAACAAACTCCTATGAATCTAGCATAATTGTATTAAAAAATATTTTATAAACAATAATCACATTAAAATTCAAAAAAACATTGAACATTAAATTGATATTTGAATTGGTTAAATAACTTATAACAAAATTCTAATACCAATAAAAGTACTGCATTCAAATTAACAAACAAAATACAGTTTTTATTAAATAATCTGAATTTTTCATAGGACCTAATTGAAATCCTGTAATTTAAAATTTATAAATACTTAGAGTGGAAAGCCAATAGTTCAAATTAAGAATTTTAAGTGTTAGAATTAAATAAAAGTTTCTTGAATGAAAAAAGTAAAATGATAAATTTATATTAAACACATAAAAAATTATGGAAGAATGGTCTTTTAAATCATATCGTTTTTAATAAAAAATTACAGATATAAAAATTCTACCTAAATTAAATTTTATACATTCAATAATTTTTCAAAATATATTATTTTCTTTTCAATTCAGTTAAAAAAAAAATGCAAGTCCAATTACATATTTGTTCCCTAATGCAGTGAGTGTATTATTAGTTTGCTCCAATATTTCAGGATGTGAAATTAATATGACATGCGAGTGATGAAACTAACAGAACTATATCATCACATCACTTGTAAAGAGAAAGGGTGAAATAGAAGAAAACTTATGTTATTAGTATTTATTTAAAAAGCATTAAATTTTTAAAACAGATTGTTCTCCTTTAGGAGCAAACCACTCACATTAAAATTATTATTGTTTGGTAATACTGTATTAGTTTTTTATAATGACTTAAAAATTATAGCTTATTTTGGTAGCTAGATGGATGAAGTTATCAATCTTTTTTTATACAGGCAAGCAATTTTTTGCATTGATATTTTTAACTTGAAAATAAAGTGTACTTATTTAGAAATAACAAACAATGATAATGTAATATTAATATAATTACCATCATGTTGCATTAATATAATACATATATAATGAATCTATATAAAACCTAAATCATTATAACCAAAACATCTAAATGCCATCTAAATGATCTAAATGATGATTAATTAAAAGTATATACTTTTAATTAATTAAAAGTATATACTTTTAATTAATCATCATAACTAACTATTGTATCTTAAGTGTATCCCTTTTGTAATTTCATAAAAATTTATTGAATTTTCTTCTCTTTTCTGCTGTGTTATTTCTTCTAAATATTCCGTCAACCCATGCTTTTCAATATAACATCAATTTTGAGGTAAGTGACCAGGGAAAACTATTGATATCTTGTGGAAATGCAAACTTTTCTTTACCGAATGTACCAATTACTTAGTTACAACGAAAAAGTGTACATAAAAAGGTAACTCAAGCATCTGGTTTTTTTTAGATATTTGGTTAATACATTTAGTAAATGTATTAACCAAATATCTAAAAATACCCAGATGCTTGAGTTACCTTTTTATGTACACTTTTTCGTTGTAACTAAGTAATTGGTACATTCGGTAAAGAAAAGTTTGCATTTCCACAAGATATCAATAGTTTTCCCTGGTCACTTACCTCAAAATTGATGTTATATTGAAAAGCATGGGTTGACGGAATATTTAGAAGAAATAACACAGCAGAAAAGAGAAGAAAATTCAATAAATTTTTATGAAATTACAAAAGGGATACACTTAAGATACAATAGTTAGTTATGATGATTAATTAAAAGTATATACTTTTAATTAATCATCATTTAGATCATTTAGATGGCATTTAGATGTTTTGGTTATAATGATNTTAAAATTTATATTTTATTAATTAAACATAAATAACTTCTGAATATACATGAATATAATTATAGGAAAAGCAATAATCATGATTAACATACAAATGCTGGTGGAGAAGATAAAGGATTGCAGTCTAAAATGAACTCTTGTAAACTATACATGAAACGTAAATTTGGTGGTAATGTTGTTATTCTATTTGCAGATATATCTAACTTTACAAGCTGGAGTTCACACACTTCTGAAAAAATATATTATAAAAATTAAATAATTCATTTTATTTTAAAACTTCAAAATATTCAAGATATAATTCGCTATTAAATTTTTAGTACATTGTATTACTTTAAAATAAAGTAAAATATTTACAGATTATAGATATTAGCTTGGAATTTTCATACTATAAACATGCAAAAGTAACAATCAAAAAATGATAAGACTGAAATTAAAAAAACATAAAATTAAAAAATTACAAGTCTGAAAGTCTGTTTGTTAAAAAAATTTCTAAGTATCCTAGAAGCAGAACACATTTTGCATACAATTAAATAAAGTATACAAAACAAATTAGAAAAATTTTTAAATCTAAATTAAACAATTGAAATATAACAAGGACAACAAAAATGGCTTGTTGAAAGAGCTACATTTCTTGCTAAAAACTTGAGTAATTTTTGTAGTTGAAGTTTTTACTTAATCTGCATTTTTTACCATTATTCTTTTAATTTGGCAATGTCCATAATAAGAAGCACCCACATCAACTTAATAATCAATGTAATACTTTAGATTCACAATCAGAGAAATATTTTTTCCTTTGCACTTTTGAATCATCACTTTTGCACTTTTTGACTGGATAGGAATGGATAGAATACACCAAAAATATATGACAAAATATTCACAAAAACTAACCAAATTAAATAAAGTAAATAAAAATTTCTTGTTTTACTTATTATTTAAAGAAAATTGACATGGACAATAATTTTCCCCTAACACAACAGATTCTAAATGAATTACAGAATATAAATGAATTACAGTGAATGGCAGATTAAGCATATCAAATGAGTCACATGATACCTATAAATTACCATATAGTACAATAGCAAATCAACATATTAAAACTCTTACTTTACTTAAAGTGAGAGTTTACTTAATATTTATGAAGTTTTGTATTGTTAATAATGTTTACAAAATGACAAAGTTTGAATTTATATGTATTATTATATCTTATGAGTAAATGCTTAATTTAATATATCAGCTTTGAAAGGTAAAACAAAGTTTTTTCAGACACAACTTACAATAAACTAAAAATTTTGGTATAATTCAAACAAATGGTTTTGTACCAATACTTTTTTAAAATGATATGTAATTAAAGTATAAATAGATAAATGCTAAAATCATTGTCATAAGCAAAAAAGAAATAATAATAATGAAGACAATTATTTCTCATAACAGATCATTTTAGAAAGTATTTAAGAAACACTATTAATAGTTGAAATTGAGTTAACAGTACCAAACTTTTATGGACTAAATAAACATTCTCTAACTACCATGAAAGAAAGATTATTAGGTTTTGTTTTTAGTGATGGAAACATAAAAATATATAATAAAGAAATATGAAAAACTAGCACACACTACTTTTACAGTATAATATCTCAATTTTTAAAAAAGCAGGGTTAGACCACTGTTGCACTCAGCCTTTCAATTAAATAAGGAAATCTGATGATTCTTCAAATGCAGAAAAATGATATTAACCATATCATATTTCATTTATCATTAATATGTACATTATTAATAAATAATAAATACTTTATTAAATGTTTAAATTTGTCATTTCATTTTATTGTTATTTATTAATGAAAAAATATCGTAATCATTTCAGTATAATTTGGATAAATACCTGAAGGCAATTCAACAAGTTGATTTCTTCGAATATTCAGAGATTTCAGAGAATCTAAATCACCAATTTGGGGTGGTAATATAGACAATTCATTACAGCTAATATCCTGTTTAAGTAAAATAAAAAACATAAAATGATCATTTTTGATTTAATTATCAAAAATAAAAATAGCTAATTATTTCAAAATATTCTAAATAAATTTTTATTATAAAATTGAATTTTCACTCACTCAATTTTTAAACAATACTAATAAGATAATTCTGAATTCTTTTTTATATGACATTTATAATACCTTAAGTAATTAAGTGTATTATATATATGCAAGTTAAAAATTACTGTTATATTTCAAACACTGAAATTTATAGTTATTATAATTTCTGTAGAAAAACAATTATTAACAAAATCTGCATAATGTTCTATACCTTCAAACTTCATTAATCTTCGTATCATCTTAAACATACAAATACATTGATAGATTAAAGGTAGCCAAAATTTTTATTCTTACAGAAATGTTTTTGACTTTCTTTAAGTCATCATTTGTTATTTAAATCAAGCAGTTAGCAAGTTTCAAAATAGAATACACCTTTGTATAAAGAAATATTTTGAAATTCACACATTACAACACATGTTTTAACATTAAAATTTTAAAGAGTATTTAAAATAACATTTAAGTAGAGTTTAAAAAATAAAAAATTAAACATTAAAAATACAAATGTGTTGATTGTCTTAATCAATCAATGTTTATAGCTGTTTTAATTAAAGCAATTTTTCCAAACTGTGTGCTGCAGTATACAAAGAATCTGGCACACCACTGTAAAATCACAAAGTGCTGAGAGTATTTCAAATTTTCAAGAAAAATACAGAATTTCAGATTGATTGTAATTGTAATTCTGCAGTCTAAATTTCTGTAGGACAGAAAAACATACTATTCTGAAATTCATAAAGTTTCAGCCTTCAGAAAAAAATTACTGCTATATAAAGTAACAAAGATTTGTCTTTCCTGTTGCTATAATTTGTTACATCCAATGAAATTGGTTTGACCCATGAACTTAAATGTTTTTTAAAAGTATCTAACATAGCTTAGTGACTTGTCTGAAAAATACTTTCAGAAAACAGAAAAGTTTACATTAATCCAAAATGTTTGTTTACCTTTGTAGGAAAAAGCTTATTGAGCTAACTTGTAGCAAAACTTTAAAAATAACATATGACAGCATGGAACAAACAAAGATTTTGAATATCAGTACAAAATGAAATGTCCACTGCAAAGTACTAAAGCTCAGCAAATCCTAATTCCATTTGCAATGTCAATTTGCACAAAGATGGATTTTGGCAATTCTGTGATTAAAGGCAAGGACTGTGAAAAAATCAATGTTGAACAGGATATAAGGGTGGAAGACCAGTCTGATTCCAAAGTTTATAAAACTGGGGCAGTGCCCAATAGGCATGTACAGTACATCTCATTATGGTTATTTAAAACAAAAATAAAAATAGTGTGTTTTCCTTTTAATCTATGTCTATTACTCTTTCAAATGACAACTATGCTGTTAGAACAAAAATAATTAAATTATTAAGTTATTTCAACTTTATTTAATAAATGAAACAGTTGATTATTTTATGACATACAAGATTTCAGCACAGAATATTTAGGAAAAATATTTAGTGTATTTAATTAAGTCATTCTGCACCTTTGACACTCAGTTCAAAAATAATTTTTCTTTTACTGTTAAATAAAATTACAATGAAATGCACACTTTTATTTATCAGGGAAAAAAGAAGAGTTTAAAAAAAATGCATTTATCATTAAAGTATTCTACATGAACGCATGCAAAAACTGTTTATCTACAGCAAATAATAGTAATACAGTAGAGCGTCGTTTATCCGAATCAATTGGGGACTGGGGTTGTTCGGATAACTTATTTTTTGGATAACTGATTATGTACAAAAAATATATTAACCTATCCTGTGTTGAAATTTTTCTCTGTTGCGTGTCGCTTCGCGTTGAATTTTCGTCAATGTTAAGCCTAATGTAAACGTTTTATAATAATAATCGTGGCTATTGTATCGTTAAAAATTATTTCTTTATTTTTTACAAACAAAATAAATATATTGAAAAATATAAAAACAAAAAAAATTATACTTTAGAAGTTAATCTAGTATCAAAAACGTTCAATTCAGCATGACACACAAAATTGCCAGTGCTGCCAGCTAAAACACACACATAAATCAAAAAAATATTGGAGTAGCCCAAGATATAGACAAAGATTGCAGCGCCATAGCACTACTGAAAATTTAAATTTGCCAACTGGAATTCTTTCGGATAAACGACGCTCTACTGTAGTAGTAGTTATTGTTTAATTAAACATTATTTTCTTAATCAAGACTTTGAATATGTTAAGGTTACCTGTAGCCTACTGAAGGCCATTTGGGAAATTCATTAGCCTATGAAAAATTGCAATTTTACATATAAGATTTAGGGTGACTTTTTGAGCCTTATTTATGGACAAAAAGTTATTTGCTATATACTGTAAAATACAGTATTTCTTTTGATCTAAGAATGCAGTAAAAAAATTTCCAAGGCATTAAGATTCTCTGAATAAGAAACTAGTATAAAACAGTCTACATCTTTTAATGCTCATGAAAAGCAATCTACTTAACCTGAGAGTTTATTAACTTTTGAATCAAATCTACTGTTCATTTAAAACAATTTATTACTTCAACACAGAATCATTATAAAATTTTTAAAATGAATAAAAACATCATCATGTTTAAGTCATTTTTATAAATACAGTGGAACCTCCGTTAACAAACACCCTAGTTAACAACCAAATCGATTAATAAACTTTCATTTTCCAAAAATTTTGTCTCAGATAATAGACAAAATTCAATATTATCTGAATTTTTTCAAATTTTTCTGTCATAACAGTTTTCTGTCAAATTGTGTCAAGAAAAGTGATAGTGGCAATAGAAAATGTTTTAGTGTAGCATTAAAGAAAGAAATTATTGCAAAACATGAGAATGGCATTTGTGTTTCTGACATTGTTAAAGAATATACTGTGGCAAAATTGACTATCTCTACAATTATTAAAAACAAAGAAGCATTTAAGGCTGCTAAAGTGGGTAAAGGAGTGAATGTGATATCAAAACAAAGATCTAAAGTTGTAGATGAAGTTGCAAAACTGCTGCTAATATGGATCAATGAAAAGCAACTTGCTGGAGACAGGGTTAGCGAAGCTATAATTTGTGAAAAAGCTAAAAATTTACACAGTGACTTGTTGATCCACACACCCAGTACAAGTGCAGACAGACAGGACTCTAAAGCGAGCCAAGGGTGGTTTGATAGGTTTCATCAACAAAGTGGCATTCACAGTGTCATAAGGCATGGGCAGGCTTCAAGTTCAGATGAAAAAACAGCAAAAGCATTTGTGAATGAATTTGCTGAGTTTGTAAAAAGTGAAAGATACATCTCAAAATCAAGTGTTTAATTGAGATGAAACCAGTCTTTTTTGGAAAAAAATTCCTAGACAAACATATATAACACGAGAATAGAAAGCACTACCCAGACATAAGCCCATAAAGAATAGGCTCACCCTTTTATTTTGTGCTAATGCAAGTGGTGACATCAAAAATCAAGCCACTTTTAGTCTACAATGCTGAAAATCTCCATGCCTTTAAGAGCAATAATGTGATAAAGTTCAAACTGCCTGTACAATGGAAGACAAATAGCAAGGCATGGGTAACTCAAACCTTATTCATGGATTGGCTCACAGAAGTGTTTGCTCCAACTGACAAAAATTATTTTCAGCAAACGGATCTTCCTTTTTGATGTCTTCTCAATGAATAATGCCCCAACACATCCATCAAGTTTGGAGGAAGATGTGAATAGTGAGCATGACTTCATCAAGGTCATATTCCCTCCACCCAACACAACTCCACTACTGCAACCAATCAATCAAGTGATTTCCAATTTTAGAAAGATGTACACCAAGGCACTGATAATCAGGTGTTTCCAGGTTACCAATAATACCAACTTAATGAACAGAGTTGTGGAAGGGATTAAGTTCATTAACCGAGGTTCCACTGTATGTAAAGCATGACTTAATATTAAAAAAAAATTTTTAATAAAATACTTTATATAAACTTTGAAATAACAAGTATTAAGGAGACAAATTACTATAATAGAAAAATTATGATTATTAGTAATTTTTCTTTTACTGTTAAATAAAATTACAATGAAATGCACACTTTTATTTATCAGGGAAAAAAGAAGAGTTTAAAAAAAATGCATTTATCATTAAAGTATTCTACATGAACGCATGCAAAAACTGTTTATCTACAGCAAATAATAGTAATACAGTAGAGCGTCGTTTATCCGAATCAATTGGGGACTGGGGTTGTTCGGATAACTTATTTTTTGGATAACTGATTATGTACAAAAAATATATTAACCTATCCTGTGTTGAAATTTTTCTCTGTTGCGTGTCGCTTCGCGTTGAATTTTCGTCAATGTTAAGCCTAATGTAAACGTTTTATAATAATAATCGTGGCTATTGTATCGTTAAAAATTATTTCTTTATTTTTTACAAACAAAATAAATATATTGAAAAATATAAAAACAAAAAAAATTATACTTTAGAAGTTAATCTAGTATCAAAAACGTTCAATTCAGCATGACACACAAAATTGCCAGTGCTGCCAGCTAAAACACACACATAAATCAAAAAAATATTGGAGTAGCCCAAGATATAGACAAAGATTGCAGCGCCACAGCACTAGCAAAAATTTAAATTTGCCG